AGAGGCACCAGAGATGCTCTCACTCACTCCTACCCTTCCTCCTTGAATTTTTCCCACATCAAAAAGTGTGTAAAATATCACACACACACACACACACACACACACACACACACACACACCCCAGTGTATTCTTCTTGGCCTCACTACTGACTCCCCAAAAAGGAATGTCAGATGTGAAAATTTTCTGGAACGCCATCACCTGTCCCCTGAGAACTGGACTGAGACAAACAAAATTCCTCAAAAAACAGGGAATAGATTCCAGATGGCAATTCTCCCCAAAAGAGACTGAAGGTATCTCATCAGTGGCTGCTGCCTCACTCACTGCTATGCAAGAGGGAAGCATGCAAACCACCAGAAAAAGGAAGCATCCTTTACAATAAGATTGCTCTACTGTGTTTTGTTCAAAAACGCAACCTGAATGAGCACACGTGCAAAGCTTGGGCTGTAACCAGAAACTGTGAAAGAAAAAGACACGAATGACTGGTGAACCTGTGGAGCTCCCCATAAAAGACACAACCCTAGCGTCAAGAGCAGCAGAAAAAGCCCAACGTGAGCTTTCAAATGCCGATTTCCATCCTGCTGCATTCCCTACTGGAATGAAACGATGGAGTCGTTCTTCCCTGCTAAATGACGATAGGACCGGGGTCTCACAGGTTACACAGGGCGGGGCCTTACCAGCACAGCGGCTTTCAGGAGGGCGTGTTGTACAGTGCTTTTAAAATCAGAGTTCTGCAATGGCAGCATACAGACGTTTATTCAGATCCTTTCAGGCCATTCAAAACTGAGGGTAATGACCACACTGCTTGTTATCTAAAAGGATCAACTGTGCTGCAACTTCCAGTGTGCCTGCTTCATCTTCTCAAATGATACAGCAATTTATACCCCCTCCAAAAAGGCCGTATCCCACTGAACTGGCAAGGTCAGGAGGATAAATATTTCCTAAAGGTTTCCACTGACCAGAACCCCCACTTTTTTTTCCTTGGGCACTAAACATCAATTCCACTGATAACTGCTACAGAATACATTTTAACAGGTGTTTTACACAATATTTTTACTAGTCTGCAATGTAAAGATCTTTTCACATTTTGGTACTCTCATACCCTCAAGAAATGAGCAACTTTAACATCAGCTAAAAATCAAAGCCTTACATTATATTCAAATAGTCAAAAATTTCACACAGAAAAATCACTAGCACTATAAATATACCAAAGCCACTCTAGCACAAAGTTTATTTATATTTCCTCTGACAAATCTCTCTATATTCTTGCCAGCATACTAAAAAGTTGGTCCCACTAATCTAATTATTGATTTTCATGGATTCATTCTAGAGGAGTTGAAATCCCAGAAGAAAAATTGTTTTCCATTTTCAGTAAAAGTAATGACTTGTTTTGATCAAACATTTGTTTCTTATTCATACCATGAGATCTTCACCACATTTCAAAAGGACTAATCCTTGCATGGGTATATCTATGTGTTCACTTCATCTTTACAGGGATTTTACATTATTTGCATTTATATAGCCCTTTTCATCTAAGATTTCTCAATGTTCTTTTAACTGGAGCCTCAACCTCCTCCTATTTACTACAAAAGTATTATCCTCGTCTTACAAAATACGAAAAGTGGTAAAAAAAAGAAGAGAAGCGAAAGAGAGCTGGAAGTCCAGATTCACTTTGCCACCTCTACTCTTGAACAGCACTTTCACATTACAAATGGGTACCTTCCTGAAAAGGGAAGACTGATACGCATTAAGTCTTAAAATTAGTGATGATCAGGATCTTCACCTATTTTCGGCATCTATCAGATGCCAGGTAAAACACGACAGCAATGTGCATCTTTTTAGAAAAATTGTTATCAAAGGAACAAAGACACTAGTTAAAGCATGCTCACCCGCAAGAACACTAGAAATTGCAGCCTCAATAAAACAACAGGCCACTCAGTGCAAGACATTTGCCTATCAAGGTCTGTCTAGAAGCAACAGACCCCCGGGACGCTGTAACTTCCTAGCCCTGCTCAGCGTCTGACATCCTGTTTAGTATTCCTGACATTTCTCTTCACATTCTCAGACCAAGATGGTCAAGACTCTAACAAAGTGTCTGGTCTAAACAGATTGTCTAAATACTGATTATTTTTTTTTGTCACTTAAACTAACAGAGGCTAACAAAGAACACAGTCTAAGGTAGCAAATAGAAGCCCCAATAAGAGATCAGTTGTGTACTTGCAACCAGATTACAATGTTAACATTGTCATTCAGTTCGAACCCTCTGTAAACTGAATTTTTAAGTACTGATTCTAGGGCTGAAATCTGCAGACGTCTTCAAATGCACGCCGATAAAAACGTTTCCATTTACGACTATCATTAAACACAAACAACAGTGCAGACACAAACCATAACTTGCCTTACATTCAGCAATACTTCATTCTGCACACTTCAAACACAGCCCCACAGTCCTGGGGGCCAGCATGCATCCCTCGTGGCAGAAGAGTTCAAAACCGATCTGGGAACCTGTCAAGCCAAAAGGGAACAAAGCCAGGTTTTTGGAAGAAGTTGCTTCAGTGGACAAAGGGGAAGAAACAAACATTTACACACTGAATGAGTAAAGCAGCCACATGGCTGCAGACATAAGCCACCTCACAGGTGGGCACACAAAGGCTTGCACTTGTCACAGAAAACGGCAGACGTTAGCAGGGAACAGATGTGCTAAATCCACTGGCTCCCCTGGAGCACAGTATCCAACCGCTTCAACCATTTTACTGTGGCCCAGGAAATGCTAACACCTTATGTAAGGTCACACCGAGTCAGGAACGGACCCTGGACCACCTGATTCCCTACTGAAGTGCTTTAATCCTAAAACCATCCTTCTGAGTTGTACCAAACCAGCTACCACACAGGAGCCTGCACAGGGACCAGGTCTTGTTGGGAGCAGCCTCTGAAACTCGATGGCCGAAGGAGCCCATCAGCCATGACCAACCCTGAAGGTACCATACCCACAGTTCGGTCTAATCTATTCAAAATCTTGTGACCTGTTGTTAGAACAATTAGAGTTCCCGGAGGTGAATTCCAGGTTGCAACATACTTGACTGGTTTTCCCGAGGTCCTAGCAGAGCCCGGAATACAGGCCAAGCTGTGCAATGGCTGCACCTTGGCATTTTGCTGCATTTCTGAGCAGACACTGTTTAGTGACGATGTGTGCGAGGAAAGAAGAACAGTGAGTTACAGTGATGGGCACAGAAACTAGTTCTACGCTGAAAATAAAAAGAGGGTACAACTCACGTGTTTGTGCTCCCCTTCCTGCAAACCCATGGTTCTGACTCTAGAAACCTCTGCAAAAAACAGCATTGCAAACTCTTCATACAAAACTTTCATTTCGTAGAACCACAGAAAGGTTGGAAGGAAAGGGAACTCACTAGGTCATCTAGTCCAACCTCCTGCTCAAGGCAGCATCGTCCCTATCCAAAATACCCTACAGCACTGTCTAACTTATTTTTTAAACTGCACAAACAACCTTTATCCACGACTATCAGGCATGGTACCCAAAAACATCAAGAACACCCTAAGTTGTTACTTAAGTTAGCTTGGTTTCTCTGTGCCACCTAAAGATGGTTCAAGCTCTCTCCTTGTTCCATCACTAAAACAGAAATGGCTTCAAAACCTTCATGCTTCAAGGAAGTGTTCATACTTTCCTATACAGCATAAGATACAACTCTTTAATAAACTCAAATGAAGTCACTTGATTTTTCTTTCTAACTATATCACATTGAGATGATGTAAATCTAACTAGAAATCATGTGCTACCACAAGTTTAGATGAGAATTTATAGTGGACTAAACTTTAAATACTGCTTTTATTTAAAATGCAAGACTGGAAGGGTCTCTCGCTCAATTTTGCAAAGCTCCAACATGTCAAAAAAAGAAAGTTTATATATTGAAAATGAAGGTCCTGCCCTAATCATGCAAATGAAGGTCTCATCCCCACCCAAAATCAGGAACTAAAATTGTATTCTAAAACACTTCAAGGGTGATTTCCAAACAAATATAACTTCATATTTTCCATACGTTAACAAAATTATCGCGAGCTTTTTATACGCAGAACAAAATTTGGGCGAACAAAAGCCTCAAAAAAGGTTGGCAAGACCAGACATAGGCTTCCAAGGGTGGAGTTTCAGAAGTACAAGCCCCATAAAACTTCAGCCTGTAAACCCAGAGGGGGAGGACTGCCCACCTGAAATCAAGAACCGTCCCAACATGTGGAGACCCCAAGGCATCATCTAATGGTGTTTCCATCTGCTAATATTGCAAGGAATATTTGCTCATCAGTTTTGTGCATGGAGTTTGGTCTTGGGCTAGGAATGTTTATTAGAGCTCAGCTCAGTTGCATTCAAGTGCAAGGCTGCTTCTTAGCAAGTAAAATCTCTAGGTGAGAAGAACAATGGTTTAGGGTTGGCTTGGAAAGTCCTGATTCATTTCTCCGGGCCATCACAGGCTTTCTGCCTCACTGAGTTTCTCTGTGCCTCACCCTCACTCTGCCTCCTTCCCTTGCAGGAGTCTTAGGACAATATTAAAAGGACTGTTCTTCAACACTTAACTACTGCAGTCGATATGAACCGTGTAAGGACCCAAGGGGGAAATCTGAAATTCTACTGACAATTTAGGACCTGAGCAAAAACATCCAGCAAATTAAGGCTACAAAAGAGGGAAGCAAAGAATTAGCTACATGTAAAAAAGACAGTATACAACAGCAAATCTTTTTTGCCACACACAGTAAGGAAATCACCATGTCAAAAAAAAATGGTCACTTGACTTGAGATTATGAAATGAAGTTAAAACACATTCTCCCAAACTATTAAAAACAGCTATATACTGCAAGCTTCAACTTCCAATCACTTTGTATGAAGATTTTGTTTTTGGATTCGATGAGTTATATAAATCACGTTCCTTTCCAAAGAGATGTGTGTGAAAATCCTTTCCCAGGGAACTCAGAAGTGTCAGTGAATTCCATATGGGAAATTAAAGCCTCTCCCAGCTGAATCTGAAAGCAAGGCAGATAACTGCAGAAAGTAGTTAAAATGGAAACAAGTCCACTCCATCATTTAAAGCTCATGGCAGGTACCAAGACTCATTTTTACTTAACGACAAGTAATCTCATATCTATGTTCCCTTGGCTATCACGTTTAAAAGCAAGGCTCATAGTCATAACTTACCATTTTCTCTAATGCTAGACACACGAAACGTTATAGCAAGAGCAGGACTCAATTTTCAAACTTGCAATGCTGGATATGATCTGACTAGGAAGTCTAGTGTGTAACAATTCATAACATTATTACCTCTGACGATCCCTGAAAAAGACTACTATACCTCGTTTCAATACAGGACGAAGTCAAATGCACTCCTGACAAAACAAGATAAGAGGGGCTAAAACTAGTTCTTCAACACTTGAGCCCAAGCACAGGAAGCCAGATTCATCCCAAATGTGACTTCACTGAAGTGAATGCAAATCCAGTGGGATTTTTCTTTTTAATGCTGCATATCCCTAGCCTACACCTATACTTTAATATCAAATAGAAGGAGCTCTTACAAAAACCTTGCTAAAGCATGATATGCAATTCAAAAAAGAGCCACCTAGCACTATTCAGAGAAGCCTGCAGAGGCTCCTTTTGGAAGCACCTGTAAAAAAAGTGGAGTTGTAAATTAAACTGGGATGCACCTCTTTCTTTTGTTCTCCCTCACCCCTACAAAGAGTGCCAGGGTTTCCCACTTCCCTCTCGTGAAAGGCAGCTTAACTGATGACAATTTTGAGATGAAATCAAGGTGACGGTTTCACTGGATATGGAAATGGAAAGACAAAGGCCTAGCTTTAGTAAATGCTCTGCAATCCAATCTCACAGCTGGGAGCAACTACAGCTGCAATGGCTTCATCCAGCCATCAGTGCAATGCTGGCTTGGGCAGCCATTCCCCAAATGTTTTACAAAATAGCTAGGCTGATAAAGTACTGTTTTCTGAACCCGACTCTGGGATGGCTAGATAAAAATAGCCTCTGCTCCAGGCCGAGTTCATTACGTGTGTCAGCATTCAGGCTCCGCATTTACCTTTGGTTAAGTTCCCATTTTCTCAAACATACTGACTCGCACCCGACTCCTGCAACCAAGTTTGTCCTCAGATCTCCACTGATACCGAAAGCCTGAACGGGATGGATTGTAGGACCCAGCAGGCAATTTATTTCTGACTTATCTTGCAATCAAATGCTATTTTAATGCTCAGACGTATCTCTTCAAATGCCAAATCTCAGAATTGCAGAAAAGCCAGGGTGTTTTGCACAAGTGGGTGTTCCACAAATGCCGAGCCTAAATGCTAAATATTTATGACCAAAACCTATACATCACCCCCTAGCCCCACCATCAATGCTGACAGAACACACGAGAATGATTAGCCAGCTCGTCTGCTACAAATACTGTCGTTCAGAAATGACTCACTTCTCCCTTGCATTTTCCCCTACTTTGTCATGTTCACTATAATCTTTAACAATAACACTCGATTGCAAGTTCCTTGAGGTAGAGACAGTCTTTGTTGTACGCTTGCACACTGCTGAGCAAAACAGGGCTCTGACCCCTAAGCAATGCCACAATACAAATAATAAAAGTGGTTAATAAATAATAATATGGCTGAAATGGCATTGGGACTAGGACAGTCATTGTGCTTACATTTTGGAGGAACTACAGGAGGAAATTATCTTTACAAGTTTCCATTAGGTATGGCAAAGTATGGGAGAAAACCAACATCTGATTTATATCTATTTTGTAATACACACTGTGGATTTTCCTTTACCCCGGAGAGTAATCCCAGGTTTCAGCAGCATTTTGTTACTTGTTTCTCCTAGGTTTCCTTCATCCCACTGTGAAATGACAATGTGCACAGACCGGAAACATTATGATGCATGAAAAACCCAACACAGTCCTTCAGAAAGTGCTCCTATTACATGTGAAGACTGGATGCACGTGGACAGCAGCGAGTTGCAGGCCAGTTGTGGTATGTATTCCCACTCCTTTTGAGGGCAACAAGGAAGCACATCTCTGTGCCAAAGACACCATGAGCTAGAAAGGACAATCCACAGACCAACTCCTTATTACAAGAATATGTTTTCCAAACTCTTTTCCTACCCAAGATGACATGACATGCATCCATCAAAAGATACGGATATTTTTCAAGAAGATGAATTTATTGAGGGCCATACTGAATTCTTCACGGCATTACAGTATAGAAACATATTTAATCTAAACCAGATTTTTAAAACTGTGGTCAACGAGACACTAAGTCTCAGATACTGGACTCTGTATGACCGGTTTATGATAGATGCTTGCCAAAAGGATTTAGCTCCTGCTATATTCAAGCTATCTTTAATCCCAGGGAGCCTAAGGAAAAAAATGCCTGTTTTAGTTTCATCTGCTCATCCATAACTCAAATGCTGTAATTAAATTTACAACCTAGTTCCCTTAGCTATTTAAGAGACTATTATTTTCTTTCCTTTTACCCCTAAGTTCTAGTATGTAAAGGGTCAAAAGAATTGCGATTAAAAAAAAAAAAATCCAACATGTTATTTTTAAAGTTGTTCTTGAGAAATTGCCACACACAAAAATGTGACGTTTCTCTACCGTTTTAAGAATAACATTCACATATGGGCATCATCCTCAAACCACTGCCACAACTCTGTTGTCCCAAAACAGTGAATACTTTTTGTCTCATCTTATAAAAATGCATTTTTATTAAACTGCTGAATTTGGTCCGTCCCAAGTTCTTTCTTGCTATTTCATGAACAACAAGGAAGATGCAAAATACTGTACTCCGATCAGAGACAAAACATTCTACTGGTGAAATGGGGCACAGAAACCAGATCGGTTTGCAGGTACGTATGACCGCTTTGATCACATTGCTTCATTCATGGCTCATTACAAGTTTAAGTTACTGCTAAGAATGCTCACATTATTCACTGTTTCAGAGCTTGGAGTAGAGCTGAAAGACAAACCATTTGGCCCCTTGCATTAGGACGCTGGAACACAAACCATCAATAAACTTTGGCACGTTCAAAAAAAAAAAAAAAAATCCCTGTAATACACCATTTCACCGTGACATTTCCACTGGAGACCTATCATTTACATGTGAAGCACGAATCTCGAAACAACCTAGTAAAGCTGTAAGAAAAGGAGCTTTTGCTGAAGCTCCCACACACCCACTACATTGTCAAGCCAGCTGGAAAAGTAAGTGTCAAGATACAGCTTTATTCTTAAAAACGAAGACGGAGGTGGAACCCCACCGCCCCTTCCACCGCACTCAAAATTTAAAGAGAAACCGCGAGAACGTGCGCTCCCGATTCTTCTGCGCTAACAGCCTCGCTCAGAAACTCTTTTTTGTTTATTTGGGTTTTTTTTTGCAAATCTGGACCTCTTAAAAATGCACGCTGTGGTACAGGAGGGATGCTGCCATTTACAGGGCTGGCCCTGCATTCCCCAGTCAGTGACATGCTTCTTAGACGTGGCATCCACTGGAAGGCCTTTTGCCCCGAGAGGTAAAGGAGTCTTTTGTTAACCTATGCCTCGCACAAGAGGCGCACACGGCCCCCGAGAGCCGTTTGAGCCCCTTCTGAAAGACGCTGTTGGAGAGACTGTAAATGACACAATTGCAGAAACTGTTGCTAATGGCAAGCCAAGTGGTCAAGAAGGAAGCAACATGGTTCCTATAGACGCGAGAGCTCTCCAGCAGGAAATAAATGATGTAGGGCAGCCAGAGGATGTAGAAGACGCTGGTGATGCGGAAGAGGACCATGGCATAGCGTTTGTCCGGGCAGGACTGTGCCTCCCCGGCCTCCCCTTCCTGGGAGCTGAAGCGCACGCGTCTCTCGTTGATCTCCTTGGTGTGCTGCTGGCAGATGCGGAAGATGTTGAAGTAAGTGAAGCAGACGATGCAAGCGGCTGGGGCGTAGAGCATCAGCACGATGAAAAGCGTGAAATAGGGATCCGTTTCCCAGAAGTTGGCGCACCACCGAAACACGTCCCCGTGATAGCCAGGCTTTCCCCACTGGAAGGAGGGCAAAAAGACGAGGCAGGAGTACAGCCAGATGGTCAGGATGCAGACGCGGAGCCTCCAGGGAGTGACCAGGGTGTTGTAGGTCAGTGGTTTGGTGATGGCAATGTACCTGTCTATGCTAATGCAAGCCAGAGAGGCCATGGAGACGCTTTTGAGCACGGACACCACGTAGCCAAAGACCTGGCAGATCAAGGGTTCCCAGGGAACAATGGGGTAGTGCAGCAAGGACAAAGAAGGCACCAGACAGCTGACGCCCACCAGGAGGTCGGCGTAGGCCATGGTCTGGATGAAGTACCTGGTGGTGTGGT